AATAGTTTCTTGGTCTCTGAAAAAAAGAATAAAATCTATCTAAACTCTATAGACTTAGAAATTATAGCTCACGCCTCTAGTTGTAGGTCTTTTAAGACACAGGCTTTAGTGTCTCAATGAACATAAAGGTTAACCTATAAGTCTTATATGCAAGGAGGTCTTTTCTTCTGAGGAACTTCTCTCCACGTACCCTAGCTGAGCTGTATCAACACAGACACCAACTTCTTTTCTTTACCCAGGATGGTGGACTAGCTGTGCCTCATTAGTGAAACAAGAAGTATTAAAATCAAACGCAATTACCTCCAGAAAATAGATTTTGGGGATGTTAGAGTTTAAAAAATGAATCTTTCCAGAAAAAAAATACCGTTTTTTGGACAGCTTCCTCCTCATCTCTACTGACAATTCTATAGCATTCCAGAAAATAAATCTACAGACCAGAATAATAATTTGGCTATGATGAAAGATGTTTTAAGAGCTCTATTAATTATCTTAATGAAATCTTTTTGGAGTGTTTATTATTTTTGTATAATTTCTTTGGGTGGTGTTAGTTTCCAAAAGTTTAATACTATATTCCCCTTAATTAACAAAGAAATTAGTATCTATAATGATCTTTATTTCTACCCTTAATGAATTGTCTTCTGCATTTCTTTCAAGACTGAATCCTTTGAATTCTTTATCTTAGATAATGTCTTCATAGGTTGTTCTTAAAGAAGTGTTTTGAACTTTTTAGAAAAACATTTACTAGCATCTGAACATAACTTTTCCCTTATGGCTTTCAATCAAATTGATGCTATAAGGTTATTCAAAACAATTGGCAAATAGTTTCTAAACACACTCCTTTGACAGCAAATATTTCATTTTTAAACTAAAAGATCACTATGTCAGTCCCTGTTAGTGCAGTGGTTAAAGCACTCAGCTGCTAACCAAAAGGTTGACAGTTCGATCCCACTAGCCACTCTCTGGGAGAAAGACAAGGCAATCTCTTCGGTAAAGATTACGGCCTTGGAAACCTTATGGAGCAGTTCTACTGTGGCCTATAGGGTTCCTGTGAGTTGGATTCCACTCTTTACGTCACTGGGTTTTTTTTAATGTCTGTTCAGGAGCCTCGAATTTCAAAGTTACATTAGACCATATTGGAATACATAGCCACTCTTTTCTTAAAGTCTTCTGGAGAAAGTTGCAGTATTTCCTCCAGAAATGCATTTGAGACTCTCACAACTCAAGACCATGTATTCCTGGCAATAAAAACAATGGATAGGTGATTGCTAAAACTAACAACTGACCACTGTGTCAGGATATATCACTGCTAAGCTGCTACGCCAGCTACAGAAACTAAAAAAGGTCATTACAAGATTTATTGATTCAGTTATTTTAGTAAATATTTATGAATAAATTAATGAGTGAATAAATGAACACAAGAATGCCTATCATGTGCCAGGTATTGACATCACATATCTTGAAATTTGGCAAGTGGGAAAAACATGGTTCCTGCCCTCATGAAGCTTACAGTCTAGCAGAGAAGAAAAACATGAAACAAAGAATCAACAAATAAATATCTAATTACAATTTCAACGACAATATTATTGTTGAGCTCCTCTGACTGTCATACCAGTCTTTCTTTTTTTCCTCCCCATATGAAGATTGAATGTAACATCCGAGAAGTACATATTCAAGTGTAAAAGCTGGAGATGGTTTCTCCTAAGAAAGCCTGCCTCCAGTGATATGAGCCCATTTACTGATTCCCTAGGTGGAAGTGGAAAGCAATTCTGTAATACTGACTCCATCCTTCACCTTTCAGGAAACCCTGGTGGCATAGTGTTTAAGAGCTATGGCTGCTAACCAAAAGGTAGGCAGTTTGAATCCACCAGGTGCTCCTTGGAAACCTATGGGGCAGTTCTACCCTGTCCTATAGGGTTGCTATAGTCAGAATCAACTCGACGGCAAAGGGTGTGTTTTTTTTTTCCACCTTTCACATCCAATTAGGTGCCATGGCTTATTGAGCCTATAATCCAGATACATCTTGTATTTATCCCCTTTCTCCAATGCCATAGCCAACAACACAGTACCAATTCTCTGGCCCTCTTATTCAAATTATTTTAATAGCCTCCAAGAATCACAGATAGAATAGGAAAATATTAAAGTTGGAAGGGACCCTAGAGATCACTCTTCAGATGAGGAAACTGAGGCTCAGAAAGGGAAACTGTCTCACCCACGGCCCCACAACTTAGCCTAGCCACAAGCATGTTATAATTTTTCTCTGGAGCAGCCATGGGAGACACTATTGGTTGTCTGCTCACAGTAATCCCCATCCCCTTCTTCCTTGTTAACAAATCTCCCGTCCCATAAATAAAACCAGTCATCATTGAATCAGTTCCGACTCATGAAGATCCCATGTGTGTCAGAATAGAACTGTGCGCCACTGGGTTTTCAATGGTTATTTTTCCAGAAGTAGATCTCCAGGCCTTTCTTCTGAGGAACCTCAGGTGTACTCAAACCTCCAACTTTTCTGTTAGCAGCTGAATGAGTTAACCATTTGCACCACCCAGGGATTCCTCCCACCACCCATGATAGGAGCTAAAAATGACAAATTCTTGTTTTCCTAGGGATGGCCTTGTGACCCAGTTTCAGCCACTGAGTGTAAAGGGAAGTCTGCTGGCTGGTTTCTGAAAAAGATCTTGCTTCCTGATACAAATATAAATCAAGAACCCTACTCCCTAGCTTTCTTCCTATCTTTGGAGCTGAAGTAGATGAGCTTGAGAAGAAACTGCCAACATCTGAGGGCAGTGGATCAGAACAATAGAAAGCATTTGGGACCTTCATCTATGAGCCCTGAGTTAACCCTGCAACCACCTACCTACAGACAGCTTATTATGTAAGATTGTTTAAAGTCTTTCCTATCCTATTTACACCATATGTCATATGTTCTGTCACTTGCAGCTGAGTGCACCTTGAATGTACCACTGCTTTGTTTATTTCTTTATTTTTCATCTACCCCACTGAGTTCCACAAGGACAAAGACTTGGCCTAATTTTTTCATTGCCATAACCCCAGTTCCTAGAACAAAGCCTGGCACATAGTCAGCTCGTAATAAATATTTGTTGAACAAATGAATTAATGCTCGAAAACCTTCATTGACTATCAGCTTCTATAGGATAAAGTCCAAAGGATTAACCTAGAATTCAAGGCCCCTCATGATCTAGCCCCAATCTATCTTTCCAGCCTTATCTTCTACCTTCATATACCCTACCAAACCAAAACAAACCCATTACCATCAAGTCAGTTCCAACTCATGACAATCCCATGTGTTACATAATAGAACTGCTCCATGGAGTTTTCTTGGCTGCAATCTTTATGAAAGCTAATTGCCGGGCCTTTCTTCCATGGTGTCATGGTGTCACTGGGTAGGTTCAAACCTCCAACCTGTAAGTTAATAGACAGGTGCAAACTCTCAGGAAAATGGGACTGTTCCCTGTCCTTCCAAACACTCCCTGTGCTTTATTGACTCAGGGATTTGGCTCATGATGTTCCTTCCATGGAATATGCTCCTCCTCCTCCATCTATATACTTCTCTCTCATTCCTCAAGCTCCAGCTCATCTCCCATAGCACTTTCTCTGATACCTTCCAGGCATAAATATGTTTTCTATCCTTTGTTCCCTTTTCTTCTCTGGCACATATCACTTTTAAGCATTTATGATAATTATTTGGTGCCTTCATTGCTACTAGACTACAAGCTCCTTGAGGATAGAAAATTTACCCTCCCAAGGAACACATATAACGCTTTGCCCATGTAGGTACCTGTCTTAGTCATCTAGTGCTGCTCTAACAGAAATACCACAAGTGGATGGATTTCACAAAGAGAAATTTATTTTCTCACAGTCTAGTAGGCTAGAAGTCCAAATTCAGGGCATCAGCTCCAGGGGGAGGCTTTCTCCGTCGGCTCTGGAGGAAGGCCCTCGTCATCATCAGTCTTCCCCCAGACTAGGAGCTTCTCTGTGCAGGAACCTCAGGTCCAAAGGACGTGCTTTGCTCCCCGCACTGTTTTCTTGATGGTATGAGGTTCCCAATTCTCTGCTTGCTTCCCTTTCCTTTTATCTCTTGTAAGGTAAAAGGTGGTGCAGGCCACACCCTAGGGAAACTCCCTTTACATTGGATCAGGGATATGAGCTGGGTAAGGGTGGTGTTACAATCCCACCCTAATCCTCTTTAACATAAAATTACAATCACAAAATGGAGGCCAACCACACAATTCTAGGAATCATGGCCCTGCCAAATTGATACACATTTTTGGGGTGACATAATTCAAACCATGAAAGTACCTAATTTTTTTTGGGGGGGGAGGAATAAATAATATCAAAGTCGGCCCATTAAAAATTCTGTTTTAAAAAATGGTTCGGACCCAGGAATTGCTGCAGACTGTCATGGAAGCAAAGGTTTAAATGCATTGCAGGAGAGGAAAGGAAGGTAGAGAAAGAGCCTTGGGAAGTGTCAGTAGCAAACACGGATGCTTTTTCTCTTGCCGATGATAGCAAAGTTCTTAATGGAAGATGATCCCAATCAATAGAGCCAGACAGATGATTTATATCATGGAATCAAGACGAAGTAGTGGTCTTTCTCTGCATAGTGATGTCAAAGGGAAAAAGGCTACCAGGAGACTCCACAAGTACATCTGCTGGTGTTCATAAATATGTTCTCCCATCCACGAACCACAGGAGAGCTCCAGAGAGCAGCCTGCTTGAGGCTGTATGCTGAAGAGTGACAGTGGGGCTAGTGCCGCTGCTGTATTTTGGCTGCTTCTGCTGCTGCTGCCACTAGGCTGATACCGCAGTGAGGGGTCTGACCGCTCAGAGCGTGCTTTCGGGAGCCTGGGTTCTGGCATGGATTGAGAAGTTAAGAGAGAGGGCTGTGAGGTGGGCAGGACTCACCAAGGAGCTGCAAACCCAAACAAGAAATCCAGGGAGCAAAAGGAGAGAAAGAGTGAACTTGAGCCAAGATATCAAGCCAAGTGGAACTGAAGGAAATGTCATCATTGGTGAAGGAGGACTTGGAGAAGAAACTGTTTAAGCCACTCTCACAGAATCTGTATGAGTTTATCGAAATAGAGGTCTCAGTCCAGGACAGGTATTACCTCTGTGTGTCAGGTAATCTCTTCTTTCTGTTATTTCAAAGAGCAAATGACTCAGAGATGGCTTGGGCGATAGAGGGAAATTTTTGTGTTTATTTCTCCATACAGTAACGACACGTGTATCTTCACGTGATAGAGTTTAGCTATGCCAAGTTTAAGACTTTGGGTTCTACGAAATGATAAAAAAAATTACCAAAATGAAAGAAAGAAAAAAACATTGTATTAAGAATATTTTGGTTAATTGTTCAGAAATGAAACTGGGTATGTACTTTCTCTAATTTGATTATTTTGTCTCTTATCTTTTATTAATCCACTTTCGTGGCGTGCAATTTTATTGTGTAAGAGCTCATTTTAAAGAATTTAACAGAAAGCTCTCTGTATATTTTTTGATTCATTGGAGAATTGAATTACACAGCTCTCTTTCCATCCAGTCTGGACAACTAGGGTTCTCTCATTCCATGTTAGGAAAGAAACAAGACCTTAGATTTTCTTTCAAGAGCTCATTTAGACTTCCTGGAGGTTTTATTTTGGAAAGAGAAATGATCTTTTAAAAATTCCTTCTCTTGCAGGAAGCATGCTCACAGAAATAATACTTGAATAGTAGTAGAAATTTGAAATTAATTTCTGTGGCCTCAGGGTTGACTTCTCTGAAGTGGAAATAATAACGCCTACATCTGTGCACAATGTTTCCTTGTTAGATACTCACTAGAAAAAAAGATGTAACTTAGATTCTAAATAAATAAAATAAGATAGAGTTATACTTTAAAATATACGTAAAATGAAGAGTGAATGTATTACATTAAACGTATCATGTATGGAGTTTTAAGAATAAGGGAATGTCTGCTAAACTCTTTTAACTAAAATAAAGATTTTCCTGCATGTTTCTAAGAATTCAAGAAAATTGTCCAAAGGTAGGAATAGGCTTGTGCACTTAATTATGATTTGCCTAACCTGTGATTTTTGTGCTGAATTTAGATAGCAATGCTTGTGCCATTACTGAATTTAATATACAGTGCTCCTTCTCCCCAGTCTATGCCTTTCGATACTTTTCAGTGCCCCTTTTTTCAGGCACACAACTAAGCGTTTTCAGAACACAACTTGTTATAATTCCTAATTGGCTTAGAAGGACTTTCTAAAGGTATAAAGAAGGAGTACTATAAGGGAAGTAGAACATCTTTACAGAACGTGCAAAAAAATTTTAGAATTCTATCATTCCTAATAAGAATAACAACACTTACCCAATAGTAAAAATAGTAATATTTATTTAATACTTTACCTAGCACATTTTGCTATATGAATGCAAAGTGTAGAATCTTGGCATATCGTCAGTGTAAAATACTTAATTGGTCCAGAAAAATAAAAGAAGTTAAATTATGGGAAAAAGTCAGTTAAAACAATTTAAGTAAGAAACTGTACTGTATCTTAACTATCAAATCACTATACTTTAAAGTATTTTTAATATATTAGAAAACATTCCAATGTTAAAATTTAATTATTTTGTATTTATTGGTGATTCTTACTTTATAAAGCTAACTTCTCATTGTAATATGAGTTCCTAAGTATTTTTTAAGAAAAACTTATGAAAAAATAATCATAGTAATGTATATATCCAATTCATCAAATATATCTTAGAGCCACCTTTCAACTTACATAATTAACTTATTCTATATGGCATTTAAAAAAAAAAAAAGCCTCCTAGAATTAAATTTTTGGAGCCGAATGTGATCTTTTCTCCTGTATCCCCTGAGTTCAGAGAAGGGTCATCTGCTGCCTTTTTTCATAAATGACATGAATCCTTTTAATTAGGATTGGAAGGTCAAGGGCTTGCCATTGTTAACAAGTGCAAAGGCAACTTCTTTAGGCTTCAATTTTCTCATCTGGAAAATGACACAGTAATGCAGGTGATTGCTTACAGGCACTTTCATTAGAAAAATTCTACAATTTTATCACGTACAAGAAAGGAGAAAACAAGATCCTCATAGAAACAGGAAGTGAAAACAATATTGTGATATTCAAGATGAAAGTGGACATTATGGACCACATCCAGTTCACTAGCTTTATACAACTCTATATGCCAATTATCAATTTGAGAGCACATGTCCTAAATATAACACCTGTTTATAACACCTACATCTATGTACAACGTTCCCGTTAAATCCTTACTAGGAAAAAAACAAATATGATAACTTATATTCTGCATAAGTAAAAGGTAGAGTTATACTTTTAAAATATACAGTAATATATATTTAATGCATGTATAATGAAGAATGAATATATTATGTTAAATATATTATATATAAATAGAATTACATGTATATTCAGACAGATTATTTTCTATCTTTTGAAAAACGTTTTCCTTTCATAGATACTAATTTGAAAATAAATGACATTTCCTAGAATTATGAAACTAACATATGTAAGTTCTCCACATATTTTATTTTTGATTACAGAACAGAACTTCTCTGTGAACCAGAGAATCTAACAATTTTGTCATTTATTTATAATAATGGTAATGGTACCAAATAAGTTAACAAAAGGGAGACTGCTAAAAGCAATTTAAAAGGCTTCATTTGGAACCACTGTTGCTAAATCTGTGAATTCCTAATGTCTTAATGACAGAGATCATAAACTAAAGAACTTTTTTCTGAAAGTTTTTATTTCAGCAGATAATATATTTTCTCAGCAGATAATATATTGTCTGGAGAGAGGTTACTCTCTAAATTGAGTACAAATTATCCTACTAATGTATAGTGTTTTATAAGAAGAAAAACATGAGATAATGTTTTGAAAAGTTTCCATACAATTAAAGATGTTATTAATAGTAGTGGAATAGCAACTGCATAGCTCCAAATATATCCGAATAGCCATGTGTTATGTTCGGAAAATAGAGCCGAGCATAGTGTATATGCACATGCTTCTTTATTTTTCAAATTGCAAATTAACTCAAGGCTGTCTTCATATATAATAATTTAACATCTTCGCTTTCATAGTCTATAATGTTTCCTTGGTAAATATTAATATGGCTTGGTTCTGCTACAACATAGAAATTCTGTGCTCAGAAAGAAAACACTGGAATAAATTCTAATTTGACTGTATTTATCATTCTCTATTTTTAAAACAACACCAGAGAAAAAGTAGGATTGATTTACAAAAGGTACATTTTATTAAAAATAGAATACATATCTCATGAAATTTACCACAAAACTTACCTTTAAAGGTAGAAAAAAAGACTTGATTATCTTCACTCAAGCCTCTCTCTCTCTCTCTCTCTCTCTCTCTCTCTCTCTCTCTCTCTCACTCACACACACACGCACACACATACACACACACACGGTAAATACATTTGTGGAATATCCCTGAACATCTCCATGGAGGAACCTTAAAATGTTCTGACTCTCCAGATCAGAATATTTGTAGGTGGGGACTACAATATGAAATGATGAAGCTCCCATTTGGGTCCTCTTGTTAACTTGCCTTTTTTATAACTTCATTTTTAGTTCTAAAAGAGGGGGCTTGAATTTGGAATTAAATATTATCATTACCTCTAACATCAACAACCCACAACATCATCATTAATTAGTTATTCATGAGCCAGACATTCCCAGTGGCTAATCTACTACTTTGGAGCCCTGGTGATGCAGTGGTTAAGAACTTGGCTGCTAACAAAAAGGCTGGCAGTTCAAATCCACCAGCCGCTCTTTGGAAACCCTATGGGGCAGTTCTACTCTGTCCTATAGGGTCTCTGTGAGTCGGAATCGACTCGACAGCAATGGGTTTAATCTACTACTTTGGACATGTAAATGTGGAAATCATGATGATTTGCCGATTTTAAACTCCAAGCCAAATCATTTATAGAGTGAATGGGAACTTTATACAAAGCTCTGATGGGGGAAAAAAGGTAAACATTTTCCTTCATTAGAATGATATTATTGATAGTGGGATGAAAGGGATAGTTGTACAACATGCCTACTGAGTCCCAGGCACAAGCCTATTTTATCCCAATTCCAAGCGTTATCCCTTTTAATCTTCATGGCAACCTTATAAGACAGATAAAATTCTGCAGCTGCAGAATCCGTGGTTCACTGGAGTTAAGTAAGAATCCCAAGGTCACAGGTAGCAAGGTCTGATTCTAAAACCCAGGTTCTTTCCACTTTGCCACACTGTTTCTATCCAGTAAGAAAAGCCAGCATTTTTTAACACATGCACCAGGCAATATGCTAATAACTTCACATTTATCACCTTTTGCCATTTCTTAACTGATGACAAAACTGGGCTTAGAGTAGCTAAATAATTTGACCAAGATCACCAACTAAGTGATAAATCAAAGCTGCAAACGCAGGTCCACTTAAACCTTGGTGCCAAACCACTGGGTTATGTTGCTTTCAGCAGATGTACTGAGAATATGCTAGATGTGAGCTCATGAAACCAAACCTTGCAGAAGCCTCATTGGATGTACCTCTTTGTTTCTTTGGTGCTTCTGTTCCCACAGAATCATTTTCCTTCTTTTCCATTTCTGTAGGTACATTAATAATTCACGTCCAAATTCACAGCCAATCATTTTCATTTTAAAGACTATAGGATCACTGTGAGTCGGAATCGACTCGACAGCAATGGATTACTGTAGCCCAAAACTTGATTTTATAAAAATATTTCCAGAAAAAAATCGTTTATAAGTTATTTTATTTGATGAAATCAATTACAGTATTCTCAAAATTTCCAAGATATTATCAGTACACTGTAACATTTTTATTGAGGCTTCTTATCTTTGACATCTTGTGGTGATTTTCCCCTATAATTTAAATGATAAGAACAGTTACATAACACCAAAATTGTAAAACAACAGAGTTGTTCATTTTTTAAAGCATTTCTGTTCAACTTGCTAATGAGCTACTGTATTTCCTTTATTCTGCCAAACTGCATTGGTTCAATTGGTCAATCTTCTTTCCATTAGCCTCGTGAATAATAGTAGCTATGATAATCAGGGCATTTATTCATTAGAAAGTTTATTAAAAAATT